TTGACAGATCTTCTTTACTATAAACGTTTTCATCACTAATTTGTCAACAGGACTGAATACCTTATTGTATAAGTAAAATCAAAAATAAACTTTTAAAAACAAGCTTCAGCTGTTAATAAAAAGAATTAAAAATATAATACTACATAAAGTGGATAAAAATTAAGTACAATAGAGAGGTAAAAGAATCCTATGTATGGGGATCCCAATACCTGTGGGAAATACAGCCAAGGTAAAATGAAGAAAAAGCTGCGTTCTTTGGGGCGTATTTACATGCCGTTGAGAAAGTTGTAAAAATTTTATGTGATCCAATTCGATGGAATATCCTTGAAGAAGGGATCTAATTGATATTCTCCAAACTTTACTAATGGACCATGAGCTTTTTATCTCTTGGTTACTTTGTTGGTCTCAAACGCGCAGACGTTCTGCTTTACCACCACAGGATCTTATATTATTCTTCAGATGCAAAACGATGCACACGCAACGTTTTAGTCGAAGATTTCGCGGTTTTTTTTTAGAGCTTTTGGCGTTTTCGGGACTCGGATTTTTGTCGCCACCAGCCCTCATGCTTCTTGCTGAAATATTATTTAGCAACGTATTTTTTCGATTTTTTTTTTAAATTAGATGCTCTAATATTACTTATAAAAATTTCTCGTTGTCTAGGTATCGGGAGCTTTTCGCTGTAGTTTTGCAATAACACTGCACAACAAATTTTAGTTTTTTAATTGTATCTTGTGGGAAAAGTGCACTTCTTTGTCAATTTTGGGGCGCTGAATCCAAAAATGACAATGAAATAAAAAAAATTGTTGCGGTTTAGAAAAAAACTTTTTATTTTTTAGGATATATTAAAAAAAGTAACAAGATTCATATACTTATAAGAATCACTATATGCGCTGTCTTTTTGCTGTTCTTTTATGGATCGTTTCTGGAGCATCACTACAAGGGTCCAACAGTAGTCTGCAAGCATGGAAGGACTCCACTTTCCCTGGTACCGTTTTTCCATTGTTGAAATATCCTGATGAAAACGTTCGCCGTGCTCATCACTTACGGCTCCGCAATTGTCAGGAAAAAAGTCCAGGTGTGAGTGTAGGAAATGTATCTTAAGAGACATATTACAGCCCATCTTTTGATACGATGACAGCATATTTTTGACAAGGGTTTTATAGTTGTCAGCTGTTCTATTTCCCAAGAAATTAGTGACCACCAGACGGAAATCATTCCAAGCAGTTTTTTCAATACCTGTTAAAGTGTTTTCAAACTGTGTATCTTTCAAAATATTTCGAATCTGTGGCCCAACAAAAATACCTTCTTTAACCTTTGCCTCACTTAGTCTTGGAAATTTCTGACGCAGGTATTGAAAAGCTGACCCATCTCTATCTAATGCCTTGACAAAGTTTTTCATTAGGCCCAACTTGATATGCAGTGGTGGTAATAAAATTTTTTTCGAATCTACTAATGGCATATGCTGTACATTTTTTTGACCTGGCTCTAGGAATTGACGAACAGGCCAGTTTTGTCTGGTGTAATGAAGTTGCTTTGCCTGACTATCCCATTCACACAAAAAAACAGCAAAACTTTGTGTAGCCTAGCTGCAGCCCAAGTAAAAGTGCAACAACTTTCAAATCGCCACAAATATGCCATTGGTGCTCATCGTATTTTATGCATGTCAATAGGTACGTCATATTCTCATATGATTCTTTCATGTGAACTGCATACCCTACAGGAAGAGATGGTAAAATATTTCCAATATGCAATAACACTGCCTTTAAACTCAATGTTGAACTGTCTATAAACAATCTCCATTCTTCTGGGTTATAGTTTATATTTAAAGCCGCCAGTAAGCCGTTAATGTTACTGCAGAAAACCAAGTTATTCTCCATAGTGAACAATGGTTCTAAGTCTTTGTGGCGTTTACGAAAAACACATACCGAAACATCATCTTCTAACAAGTTCCACTGCTGCAGTCTTGATCCAAGTAACTCTGCCTTACATTTTGGAAGTTCTAAATCTCTTACAAGATCATTTAATTCCGACTGTGTTATTTTGTGCGGTTGGTGGCATGACGTGCTCGGTATAAAATCAGGATCTCTTGACGTTGATGGCATATCTTCTTCCTGACGAATCACTCGATCGCCATGGTCTGATTCGTTTTCTGATTCGCAAGTGTAGGATTCTGGGGGTTTTCGAATAGGATTTTCGTCACTGTGAGGCACAGGTCTCATCGCAGATGGTATGTTTGGGTAGTTAATAACCGATTTTTTTTTCTTGGACATACCTGTGGCTTGTCCAACACAAGGTACCATGCAAAAGTAACAATCATTAATATGATTTGTAGGCTCTCTCCAAACCATTGGGACAGCAAAGCGCATAGACCGTTTTTTGCCATTTAACCAGCTCCTCAGACTTGAAGCACATGTATTACAGCAGATGTGTGGTGCCCACTGTTTGTCTTGATCACCTAGTTTACAACCGAAATAAAGCTGATATGCTTTTGTTATTAGTGGAGTAATAGACCGTCTCTGAGACGCAAAAGTCACATCGCCACACACGTAACAAAACTGATCTGGATTATTTACACACTTTCGAGACATCTTGCATGAACGCTGTCAGCCAACTGAGGAAAAAATGGCTAATATAAAACAATATAATGTACACGTATGTATAACGTAACACAATCATGCCGATCACATCATCTTTCCTTGCCGAATATAAAAATGTAGCACGTACCATTCTTGTGAATTACAGTATATTAACACTGTCACAGCAGGAACACATATAATTACCGTATCTCTAAAACTTGAACTAATATTGAAAAAATAAGTTTCATTCCGGTTTTAGCACATTAAAAATAGTAATATTTTGTTGATTTTATTTAGGATATTTTTTGGCTGTTGATCAGTGTAATTCCACACCTCTTGTGGCATTTTTATACATGAGGGAAAGTAAGTTCCGTATCTCTTCCCCTCTACATCGAACTTTATTTGAGGGATGATTTATATTCAATAGTTATAGAATATATAATACTCTTCCCTTCCATCTTAAAAACATGTCTTCCGAATCATTGAAAGTCAACTACAAAAAGTATCTACAACAAACTGAGAAATGAAATAACCTACTACGTACGCATATATTCCTTAGAATTATAATAAACCTGCAACAATGTTTCTGTTTTTATCTACACTATTCAGTATCCACCATTCACGTTCTTTTCTCAAGTAACTTCCACTTAAAATTCTCACAGCGCAATAATAATAATAATAATATTTATTTACTCTAAAATACAGGGAACATGAAACGAGTAAATAAAAATGATTGAATTGCAAAATATAATAAAATAGAGAGAAAAAAGAAATTATTGGTAAGAATGGTAGAGCATTTATTGTGTAATATTTGAGATTATTTTATTAATTTGATTTCTCCCAATCGTGTTAATAAATTTTTTTAATTTTTTTTTGAAGCCTAATGTATTGCGTAATTGTTTTAAATTATTTGGTAAATGTTCGTACAATTTTGGAGCTATATATACGTACAGGTGACATCGTTTCATTAGGGATTTGTTTGGTTTAGGAACATTTTTTGCGCGTAATTTATATCTGGTTTTATGATTATGTTTAATTATGTCGTGTTCACTAATAGTTTTGTGATAATGAGTGATGGTATGTAAGAAGTAAAGTTGTTTAGTATCATATACTTGTGCATCATTGTATAAGTCATTAGTTGGGTATAATTTTGATTTGCCTAACATTGATTTTAAAATTCTTCTTTGAAGTACATCTAAATCGTTAAAGTATGTCGTGCATGCAGCACCCCACACTACTATACCATATGTTATGTGTGGCTCGACTAAAGCTTGATATATTATTCGTAGATAATATTCAGTTAATATACCGGTTAGAAATTTTGTTTTATATGCTATGAATCTAATTTTCTTTAGTATGTGAGAAATATGTACATCCCATCTCAAGTGGGGATCTAGATAAATTCCTAAATATTTTGTATCATTAACTCTATTGTTTTTTATATTTTTATCATTTACCTTAAACCGAAGGTGGTTATATTTTGGTAGATGATTAAATAGCGATGAAAATGGTAAAAAATGAGTTTTAGTAAAGTTCATTGTTAATTTTCGGTTATTAAACCACTGAATAATTTTGCAAAAGTCATTTTGGATAATATCTTTTAAGTCGTTCCAATCCTTACCTTTATAGAGTATAGCAGTATCGTCTGCAAAACTGACTATTTTACCAGTACTGTTAATTTTGAATATATCGTTTAAATAAATATTGAATAACAGAGGACCCAAAATTGTACCTTGTGGAACACCACATTTAACAAACATTTCTTTACTATACGAGCTTAATAATTTTACTGATTGCGGTCTATTTGATAAATAATTTTCTATTAAAGTATACATCTTTCCACGAAAACCTATTCTTTCTAAGATTTCCAAAAGTATATTGTGGTTAACTGTGTCAAACGCTTTTTGTAAGTCCACAAATACGCATATCGATGGTACTTTTCCATCTATATTTTGGGTTATTTCATCTGCTATACTTAATACCCCATCTGTTGTAGATTTGCCCGCTATAAAACCATATTGATTTGAATTTAGAATTTTGAATTTATTAAGAAAATTAATCGTTTTATTAAGGAGTAATTTCTCAAAAACTTTAGCTAAACTTGATATAAGTGAAATAGGTCGATAGTTAGTGACGCCCGTATTATCATTAGATTTATAGATAGGTATGATGATTGCTGTCTTGAAAGCTGATGGAAATACTCCAGATTGGAAGGATTTGTTAATGATATAAGCAAGTGGTTCTGTTATTTGTTTGGCCAGTATCTTTAGATGTTCAGCTCTAATGTTCATTATGTTTGTCTCAATTGTGTCAGCACTTGTATCAGTTTCTCTGTATATTGGCCCTTTTTGCTATTACACCTATTGTTTAAATGAGTGACTGACTGATTGTGAATAAATTTGTTTGTTATTATTATTAACCTACCTTGGTAAGGTTCAACTTGGGCATACCCTCACGTTTCTGGCAGGGCCCAAGGCCACTGCAAGCTATCGTCGCTGGCCATTGCAGAAAAAGCACAAGAGCACAAATTGCCAATAACACAGCCGGTCTACAGATGCCCACCGCCGACATTTTGGATTTCCAACTGGCATACTAATTTACATTTTTTGAATTCATTCCACACAATTAACCGGCCTGCTGCATTCGATTACGGAAAGCATTAACATTTCGTTTTGTTCGATTGTGTTGTGCTAAAAAGTGTGTACCGGGAAAATAAGTATTTGCATAGTATTTTTTGTCTATTATATGGGGATACTCGGAAAAATAAACGTATGCTAGTCGGTGACGTACGGCGTTGTCAATATGATTAGTTTTAAAACGTGCGACATGAGTAGAGAAAACTGTAACTTAAATTTCGGCTCTCGGTATGTTAAGTGTTACATTACGAGTCCGGTTTTTCATATCTTATCGGGTTGTAGGTTGAGTCTGAGACACGATATCCTTTAACCGTACCCATACGTAAAAATCGAGACAAGTTAAGTCTACCAAACCGCGACCGCGACCGCGACCGCGACCACGACCACGGCAACGACCACGACCGCGACCACGACCGCGACCACGACCGCGACCACGACCACGAGTCATGGAAACAGACTTCCTCTTCCAAGACACCAAAATTGAAATACTGCATTGATAATAGCTGGTCAACCATCCAATTGCAATCGATTGATTGTCCAAAAAGTCAAGAAAGACATTGCCATTTATGGATTGCTCTTAAAAATATGGCCCAACAATTCTGCCTCCCAGTATGCGCCTTTTCCATGTCAAAACAGCTTGACATATAAACTTGATATTTTGTTGACACAGCTCAATAAGGTCTCTTGTTCTACTGTAAACAATATTATGAACATATGTGGAGCATGGGGATCAATGATCAAGTCGAGCGATATTCAAAAAGCAGATAAAATTCTTATCACCAAATAACCACCAATCATCAATGCAAGTCATCATACAGCAAAATGTTTATTCCTATGTACAAGGAAACAACGCGAAAACTTCACAGTTGAATGTAAGAATGCCATTTTTTCGTGCGATTCAGCCGGCTATTATTGTTAGTACAAATACATCGGTCAGGAATGGTATTGGAATATCATCACGATTCACGACGAAACTATTAGAAACGCTACGAAAAGACGTGCGGTGCACATCAGAAGATGCTTGGGAATGCAATTTCATACAAGGTGGAATGAAACGTTGAATACTTGTACTGTTTATTTCGGTGAACTAGTTCAAAAGGTTGCGCTCACTTAATCGAACTAGTTCGCTAACGAACTATGTTACGCGAGAATAATGTCGATGAAAGCATCGTCTTCAATAGGGTGTTATTGAACGCCCGATAAAGTCAGGCACTAATATACTAAGTGACATATAAATCCGAACACCCAGTTTAAATGGTTTTATTTTAATAAAATTTTGTATAAGTACTTAATGAAGCATAATAAGTAAATGATAAAAATTTCAAAATGATTGCACTGCTTAAAAGCCCTTTGACCTTTAATAATGTGTGGATGCACCCTGATGTGCTACGCATTCTCCAACGCGCCTAGGCATGCTTCTGATCAGGTGGTCAATGTCCTCCTGTGGTATCTCATTCCCGGCAACCACCAACTCCTCTCGAAGTGCTTCTAGAGTCTGAGGAGGACGTTGCAAATTGAGCAATCTCCTACCCATCATATCCCACACGTGCTCAATTGGGGATAAGTCGGGAGATCTTGGTGGCCATGGTAACAATGTGACATCATTATGTTGAAAGAAGTCTATTGTGACTCTTGCAACATGTGGTCGGGCATTATCTTGTTGGAAAGTTGGATCTGCCAGGGTGTCAAGATAGGGTAAAAGATGGGGTTCTAGAACTTCGTGGATATAACGCTGCGCGTTCATGTTACCTCTGATGAAGATTAAAGGTGACCTGGAACCATAAGCTATAGCACCCCAAACCATAACTCTAACAGTGTGATGAACATGTCTTTCAACAAAAAACTGTGGATTCCTCCTTTCACCACGTTGCCTTCTAACCCTGGCACGACCATCGTGCATGCCTAAACAAAATCGAGACTCGTCACTAAAGACAGTACTGTTCCATTCCTGATCCCAGAGTGACCGTTGTCTTCAGCACTCAAGGCGATTACGTCGGTGTTCTCGAGTTAAAGGGAGGACCCAGTGTGGCCGGTATGAAAACAAGCCAAAACTTCTCATTCGTCGGTAAACACTTCGCATGCCAATAGGTCTTCCGTGTTCTGCAAACCATTCATTTGCAATGGACCTGGTAGTGGAGAAACGGTCCCTTAAGACCAATAGTCTTAGGCGGCGATCTTTACGGTCTGATGTTCTACGGCAGCGTCCAGTACCCCTTGCTCTTTGCGTACGGCCTTCTCGAAGCCATGTCTGATAACACCTAACCACAGTGTCTACACTTCTTTGTACTCTAACTGCAATTGCCCGAAAAGAAAGTCCAGCTTCCCGAAGTCCCACTATTCGGCCCCTATCAAACTCACTAAGTTGACGAAATCGTACAGGTCTCCGTACTCTAGGCATCGTAAAAGATCATAAAGGATGTCAAGAAAATCCGCCAACGTTGATTCTTTACTGCAGCAGAAATATTCATTTTTAGAGCGTTAGTGAATTAAAAAAAAGCAGTATAAAAACCGGAATGTCGAACTGATAAGGCTGAAAATGTTTTCACTTGTTATTTACAGTAAGATAAATACATTCGCCAACTTTTATTAAAATAAAACCATTTAAACTGGGTGTTCGGATTTATATGTCACTTAGTATAATTCCTGGCCGTATCTGACATATGAGCAGGCGCAGTAGAACAAAAATAGGACTAAGAATTAATAAAGCTAGTGTCTGCCACTATGACAGGAGGGTTAAAGTCGTGGCACAGCCAAGACTATTTATTTTCTTCTTTTTTGTGTGAATAACCTTACTTTACTCTAGTAGTTTTCGCAGCTAAAAGAAATTATATACGGAAAGTAGTTTCATTTGCCGATGTCTCGCTATCATTGTGTACTGTTCGCTGATTGTAGAAGGATGGACCCTTTAGCCGTAAAATTCAAACCAAAAAGACTGACATTTACTTACAACGAGTTGCATAAACAAGAAGAAGCACCAAAACAATGGCAAAACTGCATAATTAATAAGATTATTGGACTTAAATCAGTCTTGGTACGCTTATAAACAAGATAAAAGTCTATCTTATCCCAATTTTTTTAGGTTTGGTAATTTTGTCATCCGTGCACCGAAATGCAACCAACACCAATAACCAGGTTGAAAACAGTCTGTTTTATAGAGGCCGAGAGCCCTTAAGGGTTGGAAATAATGTAACCCTCCTTGAGTGTCGTTCAAGGAAGTATTTAATATTTGCGTTTCACTCTGAGCTTATTGTAGGCTGCAACAGATGTCATCACAGGCTGTCATCGATGTCAGAAAGATTTTTGTGACGCTCCGGCACGGGTATCACGTATCTTGAAAAGTGACATAACACCGATTTTTTTTTGACATTATGCTGTTGTTTTCTTGACATTATGTAGGTTTTTCTACAAGATATTAACTTAGCACTTAGTTGTACGTGTTGCCTAAACGTCGTGAAGCTTGTTATCAATCTTTGGCTCTGATGTGATGTAAAATCTGCTTCTGAGATGGCATTCCTGGACGTCTAAGCTGTAGGTTGTATGTGTTGATGATAATTACATTGGGTTCTTGTCTCAAATACGCTCAATTGAGATTCAAAGCTAGAAATTAGTTGCGCATCCACTTTTTCCTATCCATTCTGGAAATTACATAGGTATACAAATTTGATGAATTTTAAAAATTAGAGAGATAAGAAATAATTATATTCACTGTACAGTGTCGAATTACGAGATATATACAAACTACAAACTATATAACTGTTTATCAAGTGAGTATAAAGAATATAGCCTAAGCAATTTTAAAAAAAGGTTAAAGATGAGTTTAAAGCAGTCGGATGGCTAAAAAAATTTTACTTTATGCATATCCACAGGTAATTGATTGTTTATTTTCTCTGATAAGTGTTATATTCTAAGTTTTTTTTTCTCTCTATAGTTTGTGTCAATGTTTTCCAGGTCGGGTTGAAAAACAGGATAAGCTGAAACTCCACCTTTTCGTCACTGTTCCTTTTAAACCAATTATTTTGTAATCGTGTGACGAATAAAGGCCATTTATTATTATTATTATTATTATTATTATTATACATGCTAATAGTAATTACACACAGCGCGGGCGCGGTGATGATTTCCCCTAATTCTCCTCAGTTTTTCGTAATTTATAACTTTGAACATAACCTGTCTTCAGAAAGCACAACATAAAAATAACCCGTCGGGCACAGCCAACAGATATACTCATTGGCAGCATATTCAGTAATAATTTTCTCACACAGCAAATATCACTGATTTCATACACATAAATCATCCAGATGCGATCTTGCTATTCAAGGACCATATGGCCTCACAAAACATATGCAACCAATAATGCGTATAGTTTAGTTGAGTGATTCCTCCATAGATGGACGTTCACAACGATCCTAGTAAGCAAACGTGTAATGACTGTTTGCACCCTGAAAACTACCTAGTTTGCAAGATGACATCTTATAGGTTTTTTTTTTTAAGTTTAATATGCTTTTTACATGATACTCACGCAGAACTGCTCTAGCAAATATGCACGAGAACGCAACGATACAAAAGTAACCTGTTTTTCGACGTTTTGCTTTGACGTTGACAATCTGTTCACACTGCCAAACTGAAAATGAAAATGTGAAACACGTTTTGCATTTGTTTTCAGAAGCATTGTCAGACGATCCAACTGGCGTCTGATGATGCTTTTAGAATGATGGCGCAACACGTCAGGGGTCTGAATTTTTATTCTACAGTATATTCAGATAAGAGATAGACCGGATGTAAACAAAAGGTTCGGGTGATTTTCACGCTAACGCCGCCGTCTCGACGTAAAACAGGAGCCCTCATTGGTCAATTCGCAATTAAATGCCTATGCCGAGCGGCAGAGCAGTCGTATCAAGGCAGAGTCACATTCAGGTTCAGACGTGTTACGTATGTCGTGTGCATCATTGCAATTTGATATTTCTTTGGGCGTTTTCGTTTGTTATCTTATTAAGTTGTTGAGTTTGTCGTTGTTATTGTTATACCTTGTTATTGATTGTTATTGTTATCAACTGTTTGCGCAAAATGCCCAGTAGTACAGATACTGCCGATGAAGTTGTAAACTCCTGTAGTCCACCTAGGAAACGCTCTAAAAAAAGACACCTGAGTGC